TTCCTGTACAAGCCTGCATTTCCTCCAGGAGAATGGTAACTCTCGTTAACACTGCAGGTGGGCTTAAGGACCCTCTGACTGATGCTTGCCTTGTTGTAAGTGCCATGGAGAAGGCTGGCCAGTGATTGCCCTTTGACCTTAGCACAAAGCTGAAAGAGGGAGCCTGACTTGGTTTCCCCCTTAAGAGCGGAACTATGACATGGTAGGCCACAGTTCCTAGGCTTGTTTTCCCTTCTCAGCAAGGTCTCTGTTCCTTTCAGCCTTGTGCTCCTCTCTGAATAACGAGTTTCCATTCTCTCCTCGTTTTCCTTGAGATGGGCTTTTGCTATGCAGCACAGGCTTATCTGAGACAGGCAAGCCTGCTGTCTCAGCCTCCTGAGAGTCAGGTTTACAAGTCTGCCCACCATGCCTGGCTTTCTCAGGTGCAAACCTCGGATCACTAGTCAGTGACAACTTGTCTCTGCCACTCACATATCACCATGTATCCCATAATAGGTTCTCTGTACATTTCACTGGGGTGAAGAGGAGAAAACAGTAAGTAGGTGTCCGTGCAGAGTCAGGCCTGCGTTTACACCGCTGGCTGGTTTTAATCGTGTTGCGTTTGTGTGGCTGTCAAGAGGCTATCACTCTTCAGGTGACTGTGGACCCACTTTCTCTGACACGGGGCACCCTTCTCTTAAGCATTTGGTCTTGGCTTCTGGCAAGCACCCTGTTGGGTGCTTTTCCAAAGTACTGATGGTTTTTCAAAAAGAACTCCATAAGAAAACTCAAGCCTGCTGTTACAGCTGTAGCTCGCTTTAACTGCTTGTGAACTGCTTGCTGGCTTTGGTATACAAGTGAACTGAGTCCAGCAAAGGCTGTTCTTGGCTCTGGCCAGGTTCTGGAGTCTGGCCTAGTCTCTTCTCTCTGAAACACTCAGGGACTAGGAGGCTCCCCAGTGACAGCAGCTGCATTAGGTGCCATGGGAAGAGTCACAAAAGGTGAGAATAAACCCTATGTGCCCTTTACATTCTCCTTACATAAGTGTAAACATGAACAGTGTGCCTGTGGTCCTTACAACTGATTTGTGACACTTTCCACTGTGACACCTCTCTGTAGCCATCTTCTTTGTTCTGTTTGGTTTTGGGAGACGGGTTTCTTTGTGTAATAGTCTTGGCTGTCCTGGAACTCTGTAGACTTGGCTAACTTGGAACACACAGAGGTCTGCCTGCCTCTTGAGTGCTGGGATTAAAGGTGTGTACCACCATGCCTAGCATGCGGCTACCTTCCAAATGGGGGACAACCCTTTCTCCTTGGTAGCTCTGGCAATAGAGTGGCCCTTGGGAACATTTTCCCCTGGATGCAGACACAGATCATGGGATTAACCCCTCCTTTTTCTGACTCAGTTGACTCATAACTATAGGTGCCAGTGAGAAAGTTAAACCATGTGATCTGCTGCCAAGAAAGCCACTTCACTAACAAACTCCGGGAAGACAAAAGCTTTATTTTAGACTTTTTTTATTTTTAGACCGCTTTTCCTGAGCATCGTAGAGCAGTAGATAAGAGGTCACAAGAGTAAATGCAAGAGCTTTTGTCTCTCTTTTGTGTGAAGCTTATTCTATGAGTTCTATGTCATATCTTTCCCATTATATAATATGAATTTTATAATAGGAGTCACAGCCCAGGCTATTATGAACTCATAATTCTCCTTTTTCGATAGCCGGGATGCTGGGATCTTAAGCCCAGCTTGCTTTTTTAATTTTTTTTTGTTATTTTACTTATTCCTCTGTTTGTTTGTTTATGTTTTTTGTCACAAGGTTTCTCTGTGTAGCACTGGCTGTCCTGGAACTAGCTTGTAGACTGGGCTGGCTTCAAATTCAGAGATCTGCCTGCCTCTGCCTCCCAAGTGCTGGAATTAAAGGTGTGTGCCACCACTGCCTGACTGTTACTACGTTTTTAGCATACCATTGTTTATTTAAAAAAAAAAATCCCTATAGATACTTTTTTTGCAGTTAGAAGGACTTTGGTGCAACCTAATTCTAGACTAGTTCTGAAGTCTGTTTCTGACAAGGTTTTAGTCAATATTAGTGGGTTGGAAACAAATACACACACACACACACACACACACACACACACATACACACCCCTCCCTGGTCCCAAATCTGTGGGTTCCACATCAGTTGAATCAATCAAATACAGATAAAAAAATATTCAGGAAACCCTGGTCTACCGAGTGAGTTCCAGGACAGCTAGGCCTGTTCACACAGAGAAACCCTGTTTCCAAAAAAAAAAAAAAAAAAGTGTTTCTACTAAACATGTATTGATATTTTCCCTAAACAATGAAATATAACAGCTGTTTAAATAAGCAGCCTAGGGATCTTTGAAAGTATATAAGATGTGCTTATGATATATGGAAATATAAAAAGATACAGTCTTACAAGGACCTTGAAAGTCTTAAGATTATGGTCTCTGTGTTGGGGTGGGGGTCTTGGAGCCCCCCCTCCACTGGTACTGGGCATTCCATAAATGCTGGACAAAACAGGTAATACAAAAGTCACAAGAAGCCCAATCCTAGAGTTGTTACAGTCTGGATTTCGACTTGTGTTCCAAGATCTGCTGAAGTCGGTGCAATGCTCTTTGTTCGGCAAGAGTTTGCAGCCCCTGCCTTTTTGTTTTGGATTTGCTTTCGATTGTTGAGGGCAAGCTTTCCGGTTGCCTTTTTTTCTTGACCCCCTCGGGAACTCTCTGTGCGCCGATATCACTCCTGGTTCTCTGCTCTCATCTGTGGTTGGCTCCAGCATTCTTGCTGTCAGGGTTTAGCCTGAGCTTGTATGTAGTTATGCTTTGCCCAGTTGCGTTCCCATCAGAATGACCAGGCTGTGCAGCGTTAGACCTGGGCTCCTCCGCTTGGCACGTATATAACACCGCAGGTAGCAGGTATAGTTGACTGGCTTGGCTTCATATTTCTGCATCTCATGGGTGCAGGTGAAGAAGGGACAGAGTGACTCCCTGATGACTCAGATGCATCGTGCTGGACAGCTCCCAGCCTCTGCAGTGTCTTTCCAACTTCCAGCAAGCCTGGGTCAGGAGTGAGAAAATGATCGCTCCTCACACTTACCGAAGGCTTGTCTGGAGAGCTGTGTGGAAACAGGGGCCTGGGTGCCCTGCGTGTACAAAGCAGCTGGTTTGGGCTGTGCTTGGAACAGTGTGAAGGGCAGGCAGGTGGTCCCAGAGCAGGGTGATGACAGGTACTTGGAAGAGCAACTGAGGTCTTAACCAGCATAGTCTGCTTTTGTGCTGGTATGTGTCCTGGGGTAATGACACCGTCCCACCCCACCCCCCTTGCTAGTATCTTGGGTGTGTAAGGGGTGGGTTTCTCTTAACGCTACCATGAGCGTGTCTTCCAGATTGCATTTTGCTGTATTCTAAGTGTGGCAAGATTTAGTGTGACTCCAACATTAAGAAAGCAAGTTAGAAACCGGGAGGGATGTGGGAAAAGTGCCAAATCCCCATGACCCATGAGAGGCAGGACAGCTGAGTGAGTAGCTGGAAACCCAGGGCATCAGGCAGACAGTGAGCTCCTGGCTTCCGAGCAAGTAACTTTAACCCTCCAAATCTACATTTTCTCATCTGTATGATGGCCACCATGTGGGGGACCCTGTGAGAAGCCAGTGAAACAGTGAATGGGAAGTTGTCTGCCTGCTCTTAATGGCAGGAGCATGGAGGGGCTGGGTTGTTTAATCTGAGGAAGAGATGGCTAATCAAACAGTGACAGCCGGGTGCTGAGACACTGACATAGAAGACAGATTTGCAGAAGGGTGCAGTTCACACAGAAGAGTCTGTGCAGCTTCTCTTCAAGCAGTGCCAGGCTGCCACCCCAGGTAGTGGCTTCCTGTCATCAGACTTGCTGGAAGATGCTAGGTGGCTACAGTCCTGGGGAGGTCTAAGGGAAGTGCCTGTTGTGGGAGGGAAGGTGGCCTCTCAGTTTCCTTCTTTCATCTCTACAATGCCAGGAAATGTAGCAAAGGGCTCGGCCGTTGGCCTGATTGGAAGATCTCATGAAACCAACAATTGTATAGGGTAAAATTAGAAGTGGGTATAAAAAGACTTGTGAGTGATCACTGGGTATGGGGACCAAGCTGATTTGCTTAGAGGGTTCTCAGCGACTCCCTGTGGCCTGGCTTGCGAGGGCTGCCAGAAGAAGGAACCACAGACATCCTATGGCTGGGTCAACAGTTATCTCTGTCACGGAGGTCTCTCTCAGGGTGACTGCTTTCTCACTGTGCTCTCATGGCCCTGCCCTGTCCCCTTTCAAGGACACCAGTCATGGGATGAAGGTCCACCCCCAGTGACCTCATTTAATCCCCATTACCTCTTTAAGGACTCGGTGTAGGGACCAAGCCCCCCACCCTCTTCCATGCCAGGATCCTCTCAGGTGCAAAGCTCTGAACAAAAATGTGAGCATTCAGGATGGTGGGGTGGCTGAGCAGATAGCACTTCTGTGCAAGTCTGGTGACCTGAATCCAATCCCAGAGCCCCAGTAAAAATGGAAGAACCTGACTCCACAGCTTGCCCCATGACATCCATATGAGTCATAACACAGATACCCGTGTACATACACATACATAATCTTTAAAATTTTTTAAATGCAAGTTTTTATTTGCTTAGATATTGCTTGCTTACAGTATCTCTAATACAGGGTAAACGTGCATTCCATCATGAAGAAAATGACGGTAAAACGTCAGTACACGAGACAGTTTTTCCTTTCCAAATATTTTTCTATCCATTATTGGTTGACTCCGGATATGGACCCCATGGATCAGGGGGACAGCCATACAGCCACATTCTGGGATGTGTGTGAGGGGTTAGGGCTTGACCTGAGAGCTTGAGAGAAACTCAGCAGAGCCCTTAAAACTCATGACAAGGGGATTGTGTCATAGGGTTTGTCATCCGTAGATGGCCTTCAGAGTGTTTTTGACATGGCGTCTCAACAGTGTTCTTTGTTGATTCTCTTCTCGTAGGTGAACGGCCCTTTCCCTGCACGTGGCCAGACTGCCTTAAAAAGTTCTCTCGCTCGGATGAGCTCACCCGCCACTACCGGACCCACACTGGTGAGAAGCAGTTCCGCTGTCCGCTGTGTGAGAAGAGATTCATGAGGAGTGACCACCTCACCAAGCACGCCCGGCGTCACACCGAGTTCCACCCCAGCATGATCAAGCGATCAAAAAAGGCTCTTGCCAGCCCCTTGTGAGGTGCTCCCCACGGCAGCCAGGCAGAGATGGTCCCCGGAAGGACAAAGCTCCCAGGAAACAGACGGACATGGGACATGTGGAAACCCGCCCGAGCAGAGGCGCGCGGCCACAGGAGGTCACCGCTCTTTGGTCAATAGTCTGATACTCTCTCCCTGTCCTGTTTCCAAAAAGCACATGGTAGCCTAAGATCAAAGTCAACATTTGGTCGGCTTGCAGAGGCAACCTGGAACCGTCTCTTGACTGTTGGAGGGCAAGCAAATGCTTTTGGTATTTTCTCCTTTGTTTTGGGGGGGTGGGTGGGAGGGAGGAGGCAAGGCCAAGACTCGGGATAGGATTTTGAAGATTCACACTGGTGTACATATGTCTGACTGGGTGAGTTGACCCCTGGCCTCCCACAGTGACAATGGGTCGTTGATGCTTGTCGACTCTCAGAATTGTTTTCTTCTCTTTAATGTAACGACCAGTGTGCTTCAGTTTATTTAGCAAAACCACTCTTGAATCACTTTAACTTTTGAGATTTAAAAAAAAAAAATCCTCCATAGCACAGCTGTCTTTTATGCAAGCAATTGAGCACATCTACTCCAGCATGATCTGTCATCTAAAGACTTGAAAACAAAACAAAACAAAAAAAAGTTACTTATAGTCAATGGATAAGCAGAGTCCGAATTCACACTAATCAAGACAAAGCTTCGAGAGGTCATGATAAGTCCGGAACTTTCAAACCCTGCTTTGTATGAATCGTACTATCTGAACATAAACTGCACTTTTATTTTCTGATACCGAGGGTGGATAAGGTAAACACATGCTTTGAGGGTAGAAGCAGACGTTCTGTTTGGCACCACGTTATAATCTGCTTATTTTCCAGTATACACATTTCCCTGAGAACCCACGGCAGAGATGTGAGTGAGGGCAGAGTGTATAAAACGCATGCTGAGGAGGAGGAGGGGGAAGAAGATAGTGTTTCAAAAATGTGAAAGTGAGCAAAGAATTTTAACTTCAGGAATTCAGATTTCCCCGTCCTTTCAGATAACAACGTCATCTTATTACACTCGTGGCACCAGGACACAGAGCCAGAGCACTGGGCTCTGTCTAGGGTTAGCTGATCAATGGGTGCATAATGGTCACCAGGCCTGGAAATGCCTGTTTTCTTTTGTTTTTTTGTTTGTTTGGGGGGGGGGGGATGTTTCTTGGTCGCTTTCTTGTGTTCCTGTGAGACTCACTATAAGGTGCAAGAGTTATATCAAAAGAAAGGGAGCTGAAATACGAAAAATGAGAAAAAGTTTGCCCCTATAAGTGGTATCAAGGGAAGACACCACACTAATTTCAAAGGTGACCCTGCAGAACAGCACCTTCTGGTGAACACAGGTCAGAGAAACCCACAGGAGTGACATCACATCACCAGCTGTCTGCATCAGTAGCCCTGCCACTACTTAGCTTGTATTTAGGTGTCTACAATGGCCTGAACCACTATATCCATCCTATGCCATTTACTGAAAACTTCATTTTGGCTTCCACACGGCCAGAAAAACAAACTAGTTTTCATAGTTTAAAAAAAAACGAAAGCAAAACAAAAAACCTCAATTGAGGGGAGTCAGCAGTGATCATGGGGAAATGTTTACATTTTCTTTCCTTCAGAAATAACCACTTTTCTGGTGATTTTATCTGATATTTAACACAGGGAGCTATGGCACACTCTGGTTTAGCCATGTGCTGCACATGGTGTGTAAACTCGGGGTTTTCACCTGCAACGAGCTCCACATTTCACCCAGGACATGCTCGCTTCCATCTCAGCAGCCGGTGCTCCTGTAACCGGCACGGGGCACAGCTGACTCCGACTTCCAATACAACAGCCATCACTAGCACAGCGTTTTCTGTTTAACCAATGGAGTTGTATCAGTAGTTCTAGCAAGAGAACTGCTTTTAACATTAGGGACTGGGAGCAGTCCGTGAGCTAAAAAGGAAAGTGTTTTCTCACGAGAAAACATGTCAGGAAAAATAAAGAACACTTTCTACCTCTGTTTCAGATTTTTGAAACGCTTATTTTAAACCAAATTTTAATTTCTGTGTCCAAAATAAGTTTTAAGGACATCTGTTCTTCCATATGAAATAGGTTAGGCTGCCTATTTCTTCCTGAGCTCATGGAAAGGCTATGCATAGGGTACTCTGCACGCTGCCTTTTAGTGAGTGAGGAGTTTGAGGTTGCCTAGCAACTTGCTAACTTGTATAAACTCAGCTTTCCCTCACAGAAAGAAATGAAGGAAAACCAAGTCAGTGAAAGACAATCTTTATTGTTTCAGGAGTAAATCTGTATGTGGCTCTTGTCAAACACTTAGATGGATATAAATGCAGCAACTTGTTTAAAAAAAAAAATGCACAATTTACTTCCCGGAAGAGTTGCTACTTGCCTTTTCAAGTTGTTGACAGACACACATTTGATATTCTCTTCTATGTTCTAGTAACCTAACGTATACACTCAAGGCTTTTTATTCTTTGTGATAAGTCCTGTTTTGCGTCACAGAACAGGAAGCAGCATTCTAATTAGATTTACTACACGGAGATATGGTTCAAATAGGACTACTAGAGTTCATTGAACACTAAAACTATGAAACAATTACTTTTTATATTAAAAAGACCATGGATTTAACGTATAAAAATCCAAATGCAGGATAGTAATTTTTGTTTACTTTTTTAACCAAACTGAATTTTTTGAAAGACTATCGCAGGTGTTTAAAAAGAAAGAGAAGCCGTTTTATCTAATACTGTAAGTAGTTGTCATTCATGGAAAATATACTAGTTTTAGAGTTAAGATATCTCCTCTCCTTGGTTAGGGAAGAAGAAAGCCCTTCACCATTGTGGAATGACACCCTGGCTTTAAGCTCCACATCACGCTTCTTTTGAGAATTATATTTGGTAGTTACAATTACAGAAACCAATTAGTTTGTCAGTTTGCAGATAGATTTAGCACAGTACTCATCACTCTGGATAGATAAGATGTTCTTTCACAGCGGATGAATGGTCTGTAACACTGTAAGATACTGATCTTTACAACTGTTTAATCAGTTTTATTTTTGTACAGTATTAGTGACCTAAGTTATTTTGCTGTCCCGTTTTTGTAAATCAAATGAAATTATAAAAGAGGATTCTGACCGTAGGTATTTTGTACATATGTATATATGTTGTCCAAATAAAAATAATAAATGATAAAGATTAAATTGTTGCTGCCATTCTGTTCTTCCGTAGGGTCACATTTCACTCTGTAGGAAGTCATTTTGTTACTGTATTGACAGAATCCCATGACAAGTCCCGGGGTGATTTAACCCTGTGCCTTTTAGCATTTGCCATATTGGGTTAAATTTGTGTGTGTGTGTTCTTCCCAGACCTCTATGGGGTATATGGTAGGGTCAGATCAGAAGATACTAAAGACTTGGCCTGAGCTCTTGCTGTTGTGGGTTAGGAACACATAAACAGTTTTCCCAAGTCAGGAGAAGTCATGGCAAGCAAAGAATTCCAAGTTGTGTTTTATCTATATGCATGAGAGGGTGTAAATGTATGTGTGTGTCTGTGAGCATGGGAGTGTGTGTATGTCTATCTGTATATGTGTGTGTAGGCAATGATTTCTGTAACACACTAGCTGTTGTTTATTGAGCTCTAAACTGTGTGCCAAACCATGGTACCAAGTGTTTAATCCCTGCAGCTGCTCTGTGGTTTTGCTGTTCTCTATGTTTTAGGTGAGGAAACTGAGGAACAAGTGGCTTGGCAGAAAAAAATGTAAGTAGCATAAACAACCCAGGCTGAGTGTCCCTTCTTTAAAATGCTTAGGACCAGGAGGCTTTTGGATTTGAGAGGCTTAGATTGGATTTTGGATTATTTGCATATACCTAATGAATACTATCTGCATATGTATCGATTCTCATGGAAACACCTTGTCAAAGCAATCATGTATATTTCTAATTTGCCCTGCTAGAGCTTGATCTCAGGGCCTTGTACATACCAGATTACAGCTTTTAGCCCTCTTCTATTTTATTTATTTTTTAAAATTTGTTTATTTGTTTAGTCAGTTTTGTTTTTTGAGACAGGGTTTCTGTTAAGAGTATGTTTTTCCTGCCGGCCTGAACCCACAGTGTCACCAGCCCCAAATAATACACATAGACATTATATTTGATATAATTCTGTTGGCCAGGTACTAGTTTCTTATCAGCTAGCTCTGTCTTAAGTATTAACCCATTTCTATTAATCTAAGTATTTCCACGTGGTCTCATCTTACCAGAGAGTGGGCCCAGACCTCTGTTCTCTCCAGTCTCTCCATGTTGACTCCTCCCTACTACTTCCTCGAATCCTTCTTGTCTCCTAGTCCCTCCTATCTTCCTTTCCTATTGGCCAACAGTGCTTTATTCATTAACCAGTATGAGAAACACATCTACAGAATGACAGCTCCCATTAGGTTTCTCTATGTAACAACCCTAGTTGCCCTGGAATTCACCCTATAGATCAGGCTAGCCCCAAACTCACAGAGATCCCCTGCCTCTGCCTCCAGGGAGCTGGGATAAAAAGTGTCCATCACCACCACCTGGCTGTCCTTTTTGTTGTTTTGAGACAGTCATTAAGTTGCCCAAGTCTTCCTTGAACTTGGTTCTTCTCCCTCAGTTTCTTGAGTTGCTGGGATTACAGACCTGCACTCCCAGGCCTGGGTTGGTTTGATTTCCCTTTTCTTTCTCCTCCTGTGAAGTAGCCTTTCTCTCCCTCCCTTAACAATTCTCCCCTCCCCAAATGCACACACTTCCCTTTTGTGTCTTTTCCTCTCAGCTGACCTTCATTTGGTAATGGTAACTGAGGCTGCTCAAGAACTGCCTTTGTGGCCCAATCTGGCCTTGAACTCTCAACCCTCCTGCTTCTAATGCTGGGATTAGGCTATGCCGCCATAGTCGACTCAGAATTCATGTTTGTTTCAAATGCAACTCAAAAAAATACCCTGAAGGTTTGTGTATCTGCACTTTGACTGCAAACCATAATGACACATGGAATCTTCTATTTGTGTAATCATTTTGCATTCAAGGTTTCCGATCATGGAAGCATTTTGGATTTAAAGATTAGGGATGCTCAATTTTTGTTGTAGATAATTGCTGAGTGAACCCCCTTTTCTTTCTGTGCCTGTGTCTGAGAGGGTAGTAATTCACCTGACTTATTTTATTGTGCACCATGAATTGCTGTCAATGTGGACATAAAGTGACAAAAATAGACCAGGTCCCTGCAGTCAGGGTTACATGGAAGTGGAGGAAAACACTTGATGAACAAGGAAGCAAATTATTCCATGATCTTAGATAAGCATGATGATGATGACAATGCCATGAGTGGCAATGGTGTGAGCTGGGAAAGGCTCATCTATGGAGAAAATTCAAGGAAGGTTTCTCCAAGGTCACTCACCATTTCCACCGGGACATAAAGGAACCAGCATGCATAGATGTGGCAGGAGGTTGGGGGAGCTTGGCATGTGATCAGCATCCCAGGAGGACCTGGAGGAGAGATGGGTGACCACATAGGAACA